GGCATGTCCCAACAAACAAAGGGCATGTCCCAACAAGCAATCTTAACAGACAAAGGGCATGTCTCAACCCCCAGGTGCAACGTTTCCTGAGGGTGGGGGGGGCCATCTGGTTTCCTTAGATCACAAGAACATAATAAAATGTGCTTCACAACGCATCCTGTCTGAGCCATTGATCATTGGCAATTAAGTGTTTCTCACACCATTGATCTAGTAATAAAAATACTATGTTAAGTTTTTCTTTACACATCAACAAAGCAAAGAAAGAAACTCTATGCTGCTGATAGAGAACCATGCACTGCAGCTCACTTCCTGCATAAAAGGAGTAACAGTTTTGACAAGGTATAATCAAGTGAACAATAAACAGCTGTAGAAAAGGAAGCAAGAATGGTGAACTTGTTGCTGTAGTTTGCAGCAAGATTGACCTGGGCACCCAAATAAATATATATATATATATATATATTTTAAAATATATATTTTTTTATATATACATATAGGATTTGTACATGCAAAATGGATGGTACAGTTGTATCCTTGTAGTTGATTTTGTGTCTGCTTGTAAAGGAGGATATAGCAGACGGCTTGTCTGTGCACAAAATGCAGATGAGGAAAAGGATACCTCTCCTACAGTAGCTAATGTAGCCTGTGTGCAGTGAGGTGCTTTATGGTTTCACAATCAACAAGATGAACATGGGTGTGGTTGAAAGATTTCTGTCTGTAACTGCAGTAGTTTGCATTCTTGACTAAGTATTCTCTGGCTCAGAGAAAAAAAATAGCTTCAAGGTTGCAACTTCAGATAAATACAAGACTGTTCTTGAGACAAATGTGGAAGCTTTAGATATGTCGTGATGAGGTCAAGGAGCAAGATGGCATGGCACCTTTGTTTAACTGTGCAGTGGAACAGCTTAGCAATAGTCTTGAGAGTCTAAACAGGAGTTCCAGAACAAGATGAATTCTCTTTAAGGAGCAGTCATAGGCCTCTGGACGCAGGCACTGGGTTCTGGGTTAGGGAGTGGGTTTGGTTTTCAGACCTCACCCAACTTTAAGCAGAAGAGCTGTTTGTTGTGCTCATGGCTAGCTGTGAGGCTTGCTTTAGCAGCATTTGTGCTAATAATGGAATGCTTAGAGATAATTTTAATGGTCTTTCTGCAAGAATGATACATGAATTAATGAAATATACCATGCTGGAGGGAAAAATGCTATCCCTGTAAGGGAGTTTTCAGGCTCAAGAGCAAAAGAGAAAGGTTAGAAGTCCAAATCCATTTTTTCCATAATCAGTGCAAACTAATGGATTAATAGATGGTCCCTAGCCTGATAAGCTATTAGGCAGTCACTTCGTGCAATCTGCCTTGATAGGAACTCTGTGTTGCAGGCAGCGCTGGCCTCCTCCTCTCTGCTGTGGCCCATTCTGCCTCAGACACATTACATCTGCGTTATCATGTTACCTCATAGAGGGCTCTGAGCCAAATGACTGCTTATCATCTCTGGTGTTGGAGCACACTTTGGGATGCCAGGAGTGATTGGGAGAAACTTCAGCATGGCCTGGCCTTTGCATCATTGTCTAGTGCTCTCCTACAGCTATTCTGGATGATCATGCCCACAGTTACGAGCAGAAGGTCAGCCTGATGGACCAGCAGTCTTCCTTTGCTTCTTGTCCAAAGTGTGGAAGATGGTTTGAGGTGATGTTTCTTTTACAGTCAAAGTCATGGAAATTCTTTAACCTCAGGAGATGGTTAGATCAGAGGATGGAATTAATCAGACAGAGAATGGAGAAGAGAACACAATTGAAATAAGATGCTCAGAAGGGAACAAAAGAGTGATATATCTGTTTTCACTTAAATATAAGTTGTCTAAAAAATAAGAGGGGGAAGTGGTATGTGCAGCCCTAAGTGAACTTGGCATAAGTCAGAACAAAAATCTGAAGGAAAGACTAGAGTGACCAGGATAACATAATAGAGAATACTAAACATCCAGCCAAAATAAACTGTGTTGATGATGGAACAATACTATCTACAATAAGAATTTAGAACTGGTTCAAATGAAAAAGAGCATCAATCTCAATGAAGGTGGATTGAAATTCTAGGACTGGGTAGGAAGGAGATAGTACCAGATCTACATTGCCAGTGGCCTAACAGGAATGGCAACAGTCTTATGCTGTGCTGAAATTTCCATGACCTTCAGATGCATTGAACAAGTAACAAACAGGGATCTGAAGCAGAGACACTACTGATGAGTTAGGGATCTCCTGAAAGGAAACCTATCACTCAGCCCTGAATAATAGTAGCAGTTGAAATTCTAGCAATGAAGAGTGCTAAGAGACCCCTGACAATGAGCTAAATTATTTCTCAACATCTGTTGATTCTATAAAACACGAGAACCATGCCAAAAGCCATGCTGAAATCCTTCTTTGTATAACTGGTCTTCACCAGAAGTGTTATCTGAAATTAAATTGACCAGAGATGAAGTTATGGAACAAGCAAATGATACTAAATTTCAATCATCAGATCTTTTTCAAATAAAAATCCTATGATAACACAAATCTGAAACAGCTGGCTTAGACAGGCATGTATAATCTCTCATGTAAGCTGTTCTTGATACCTATGACTAGAAGGTGCAAATGTGACACTAATTCTTAAATAGGAGTAATGTAGAAAAAACCAAAGGGCCTATTTTCTGTATTTCCTCTTGGCTGTTTTTCTGACAGGAAGGTAATTAGGGGATTCAAACAAAATACTTTTTTCATAAAAACAGTAGTATTTTTGATAAACATTTTTATGGTAGGGGTAATGTCTTTTTTTCTTAAAAGTCATATTTGTATTCAATTAAGCAGTTCTCAACATGTTTTCTTTTCTTGTAAATATTAACCTTGATAATAATATTTTTTTCCCCACATTTTACAATTTTGGAGTCAAACAAAAATCCCAAAATAACTGGCTAAAAGGATAACCATGTGGGGAATGATGCATTTATGGGACATGTCTATAAATGTGTTCATATGTATCCTAGGTACATAGATCATATAATATCTGCATACGTTGGTCCAGCTTTGTGCAATAGCTTGTTAGGATGTAGCAGTGTTCAGTGGTCTGGTCCCACAGATAGTAGTGTTGCAGTTTTTCCAAACAATTGCTTTATATACTCTCAGATGTAGCTTTCATATGTTCCTGGGTTCCAAATTCATGAAGACCGTGTTGCAGCCATTCATTCTCACTGAAAAGAAAGTAAGCCTATCACAATATTGAGCTAATGATTACCCAGGTCATGCCATGCTCAGATCCACAGCAAGACATTTTGATACCTTTACTTTTACAACTTCCCCAGGAAGTCCAATCTTCCAACAAACTCACTGCCAGGATTATGTGATGGGGTCTCTCCCTCCAACAGCCTGCACTTAATAGTCCTAGAAGTAAAATACTCAGCTGGAACTTGGCAGACTAGGTTTAACTCTACCTCTTGCTTGCTTTTGCCTTGACTTAACCACTGGTGTGTAACAGGATGTTGTGGGTCAGATTTTCCTTTCGAAATTATTTCACTTTGTATTAAATACTTATTGATCAGACATAGAATCTGTCCCATGTGGAAATTCTAATCTAATATTTTTTATACAATAGAGAAACATTTGTCATTGATCACTTCTCAATACCCTACAACATAGTACACTAGAGAGTTGATTTGTCTGGATTCAGCTCCTGGCTTGAAACAATGACAACATGGGATTTGAATCTAGATATCCTCCTTGGATATTTTACCTATTATATGGCTGTAGGCCACTCCCCTTTCCCCTAGGCCCACATAAACTCAGAGGAAGAGTCTAACTATATGTTCTCTGTGAAAGAAGGTTTCTCTTTCCAGCACATTCACCTGGATCTCAGGACAACTTTTACAGCATATCTAGTTAGGTACCTCATCAGCTACTTCAAGCACTAGTTTCCTCCCTCATCTGCATTATGTCGGCTTTGTGAAATCCTGTTCTCAGTATCAGCTCTGAGATCTTTCTCCTACAGGTAAAGAACTCATGTATTTCCGAGTCAACACTTTCAATTCAACATTTCACATTCGCCAGTTTAATGACAGACATATGTATCTCTGGTGCAGTAGTTCCAGTCCCCTTTCCATCGAGTTCTGCCAATGCAAAGAGACGTGGGAAATACAGCCGCTAAAGATCACTGTAAATATCCATTCATGCCACCAGATGGTACCTTTCACTTAAATAAGAAATAATAGTTTCAGTAGCACAGAGATTACGCTGTTTCATTTTAGCATTGGTTTCTGGGGCCTCATATCAAAGATATGGATGTCAAGTATGACTGCTGCGATGGTTCCCACTGTGCATCTAAAATGCTGTGGTAGAACAGTCATCAGTCTCCTTAACATAGATCAAAAGACTGTGTCAGAGGCAGTGGTATCACTCTCCATCCTAGAAGTTGGGTTTATAATTAGTACAGGTATTGTTGGGACAACTAAGGGAAAATAAGTTAGATGTTTGCTTCAGGAGCAACCCAAGTTTCCTTCACTTTTGGTGTATGCTGAGGCTACAACAGGCTCCTATATAAAGCTCTCCACAAAACAAGACCATGCATGCTGGTTCTGACAGGTGGAGAAGGATGAAAAAATAATGAAGTTCTCTGCAGTCACCAATAAAAAAAACAAACAAACAAACACACTTTGTTACACTAAACATTTTCTGTTTTATTCTGGAAACGAAATATCAAAAGGTAAAATAAAACATACAAGGGTAAATAAAAAGGCAGTTGTCCTATATGACAATATCCTGTCTAATAGAATGAGAAAAAATTCCATCTGAGTCAGTTTGAAACTTTGTGTTTTCAACCGATACACTTCAAACAAAGTGTTTGTGTGAAACTTCTTGCAAAAAAGAGCTTGTTTCTCATCATAGATTTAGCTGTTACAGAGAGCTCTGCTATTGGTTTAAGAGAAACCTGTGAAACAGACCTATATAGCAGCCTGTTTTAGGGGCATGCTCACTGACTACTGAGGCAGAAATGAGGATGTTGACAGCTTGGTGTGTGGCCATGTACTTCTTTGGAGCAGGTAAGGAATCAGTAGAGCTATGATGCTGGCTCTGCTGCTGGGAGAATGCAGTTTACTTGTTTTACTGTGATTTTATTTTGCTTTGTCTTACAGGAGCTAAAATCACCCAAACCTCAAGCCTTGTGCTGAAAGAAGATGAGAAAGCTACTCTGACATGCAGTCAGAATGATAATCACAATTCGATGTACTGGTATCTGCAGCAGCCAGGGAAGGAGCTACAAATGCTCTATTACTCCATTGGTGCAAATCAGCAAGAAGAGGTTAGCACTTACACTGGATACAAAGCTAACCGGTTAAACCTCGCAGACTTCTATTTGAATATTTTATCTGTGAAGATGAACCATTCAGCTGTCTATTTCTGTGCCAGCAGTTTGGACACAACACTTCAAAGTCACTCGCTTTCTTTACACAAACTTCTTTCCAACCCCTTTCCTCTGATGGCAGCCGATCTCAGCACAAGAAAAGGGTGTGTCAGCCAATAGCCTGTTCACAAACCAGATGTTTTGGAGGAGTTGGAAAAAGAGAGGCAGAATAGGTCTTTGAAGTGCAGGTAATTGCTGAACTCCTCTTTCCTGATCAGCCCTCTAGTCAGAACAATCAATAAAGATTGTTAACTAAATGCAGACATAAAATAAAGGAAATTGAAACTGCAATCTACACAGCCACAAATTATTTTCCCCAAAGCCATTTTTTTACCTGTCACAAAACTGTTACTTGAAACATACATATGTCTAAGTCTGAAATACTCTAGAGATAGTGAGGTGTATGTGAGCTCTCATTCCCCTCTGAACATTATCAACCAGTAAAAGCCACCATGCTTTTCACTGTGCTTGGAAAGGTTACCTTAATCATAAGAAATCTGTAAAGCTAAGATTGTCAGTAGTAATGAGAAGGGGTCTGGACAAAAAGTGCTGTAAGAACAGAAGTTAAACAGAACTAATATACCACAGATTGTATTAAAATTACAAAAGAGCAGCCATTACTATGGTCTGCAAGTGGATAGACACAGTTAAATGTGTATGGAGGATATAAAGAGGAAAGTGACATAATAAAAAGTAGTACGCATCTTAGAATGAATTCACATACAAGAAGAATAACATGTAGATTTCCATTTATTCAGAAATTGCTCCGACTATACAATTTACTTCTGGCTACATAGTGAAGCACATGCCACTATGTGTGTCACATCTATTTCTTTATGAGTCATACCTCTCTCACAGTTTGCTAAGCAGCAATGCAATCTATATTAATCTGGTTTATTCCTTCCCTCTATGGATCAGTTCTGAGGTGTTTTTTGTTTTATTTTTTTTTTTTACCCCAGGCAACTTTGTGATGTTCCTCATTCAAAGTCTTGTAGTTCTTTCTGACTTTGATCTAAGCCCTAATATGAACACTTCCTCAGAAAGCATCCATATTTTGAATACAAAAATGTAGAGGGATGAACAAGCAGGATGTGAACATAATTTTATTTAGTGTATAATCTCTCCCTGGTGGAATAGTTCAGGCTTGGCACGAAGAGTCTTGTGTCTCACACAAAAAGACCTACCAGTCTTTCCAGCACAACCATTCTTCCAGATAGTGTCACTGATGCAGTGGGATTAGTCATAGCATGAGATACTCTTTGGTGTAAGCCTTCCATGATGATAATATAACAAATTGTCCTAAATTGTCCTAAAGCAAGAAAGCACTAAACAAAGTCCTTCTGATGTGTAAAAGTTACCTGCTTAATTTGCTAGTCCTGAAATAAAGAATAATAATAATGTGTTTTCAGTCAGAGGGTTTGGGAAAGGTTTAAAGAAAGGATGTAGATTGGGAACATTCCATAATTAGACACAGCATCCACATTATGAGATTATTCTTATCCTAATTAAAATTATGACAATTTATTTTCTAAATGCTCTAGGGTAGAAGAGTATCTATAGTACTACATATGCAGGGTAAGCATACTGATCTTCAAGGGAAACTTCCAATTTGTGATTACTGTGCATTATTTCCTCCTTGGGAAAGGAGTTATTGGATTACAGGTATACTCCATAGGGAAAAGTTGAAAAAACCTTTTCCTGAGTCCTTTAAATATCAGTTGACTGGCTAGGGAGCAGCTTTGTAGTAAAGTAATTAACTATGAACAAGCAGCAAGCCCTTTCAGCAATGAAGGCTAATTACATTTTTGGTTCCATTAGCAAAAAATCAGTTAGCATGTTGAAGCACTTTTGTGTCTTTATTTGGAATACTACCTCTATTGTCCCTACACACCCCTACCCTGCCCCAGTGCAACAGAGATATCAATAAATTTTAGAAAGTTCAGTAGAGGGTCACTAAGATGATCAAGGGACTGGAGCAGAAACCTAAAAGGAGAGGCTGAGGGATCTGATTTTATTCACCTTGGAAAGGGGAAGGCTAAAGGATGGCTAATTGCATGACCCCAACTGCCTAAACAGAATTGGAGTCTTAGAGGGGCACAGTGGAAGCCAGTGGAAAAAAGCTGCAGCAAGATAAACTGATTAGGCATAATGAAAAAGTGCTTCCTCCTGAAGGCACTGGAAAAGATTTCTCAGAGAGCTTGTGAATTCTCTGTCCTTGAAGATATTCAGAAATCACCTGGATCAACATGATCTAGCTTTGGAACTAGTCTTGTTTTGAACAACAGTTTGGGTTGAGAGACCTCCAGAAGTCCCCTCCCATAAAAATTTTTCTATAAGATTTTTAACAACTTGCTTTGCTGTTTTGAGATACCAAGAAAAAGCATATGTTATTTTGTTTTGTTCTGTTTTAATTTGTAAAGGCAGATCAGCAGCTCCCCCAACACCCACAAGCCTTTTGTTTTTTTGTGTGTGGTACATCAGAAACAGCAGCTGCACACACAAAACCTACCTGCAGACTTCTGTAACAAGAAGATTGTGTGATAACGTGAGATAAAAAACCCACCAGCTTTCATAAGGCCCGTATGTGTCACTATTTCTGTCCAACTGTAATATGGTGAAAAGCTTGCTGCACCCTGTGCCTCATCCTGAGAGGCGAGGGTGCTGTTGTGGTAAGAGAGACTGATGCATTATCAAAACGTCTTTTTGAGTAAATGTGAAACCACATCCTGTTTTGCTAAAATTCAACTGCTGTTCCCTTAAAGACATATTTTCAAGCACATTTTGGCATGTCATCTGCTCTGATTCTGAGGTACTGTTTTATGCTGAGTCCTCCAGAGACAGTTCCCTCTTCCTTTGAAGACCCTGGCTATGCTAGACAGAAGTTCCCTTCAGGGCCTCCTACTCCTTCTGCCTTGCTATTGCATTCCTAGATGTTCTGCTTCCAAAATTCCACAAGCACTCCCCTATCTTGGCCTGCATTATTCCTACCTCTATTTAGGATACATCTATACATAAAAGGTATGACTCTCTTCTCCACTTATTCCTGAGGGAACTACCTCTGAGTTACCAGTTTTTTAACTTGTGCCATAAGGTAATAGCGTAATGGGATGCAAAGTGGCTGAAAGATCTCCAGAAACACTCTCCAGGATTATTAATCCCTTGGGTTTACGGTTTATGCTGTGCAGAAATGGTGCCCACAAAGACACAGCTTTAAAGAACTACACTCTGGTTCCCCTTCCTCCTCCCCCTGGATTAGATTCTCTTCTCTTTTTCTGAGTTGCATCCTTTTTTTCTTTCTTCTCCTTTAATTTTCTTGATCATTCTTATTTTTATTATTTTCTTATTCTTCCTGATTTTCCTTTTTACTCCTTTCTTTAAAGAGACCACACATCTTGATAATACTTCATTCATTGTCTTGTACAATATCTCCCTGGAGTTCTTTCCCTCTTTTTGTCTAAAGCCCTCCCCTTCATTCTCACTAGCTTGTTCTCTTGAAAATAATGAGAAACAGAATATAATTTTAGAGAAGTGGATTTATATAAATATCAGTTTTAAGACATCATTTTGCCTGAAGTGGTCTCCTATACAGTTAAAATTAATTAAGACAAATGTGTACTGAGTAGGACTGTGTTTTTCTCCTTGGCCCTATGCATCAGCCCCATCACAAACATCCCATACAAAACGCTCTTGAAAATGATCATAATGTACATGAACTTCCCAGCTGTAGCACTTCTGATAGCTTTCAGAAAAGTAAAGGAAAAAGCAATAAATAAAAAACAACAGAGAAAGAAAACATTTCTTTAGAAAACTTTACTAGACAAGGACTTTTTTTTTTTTTTTTTTTTTTCATTCTACTGATTAGGAGAGCTTGTTCAGTGCTCATTTGCACAAATTATAACTTGTCTGCACTTAGCAGAAATATCATATTAACTAATACTAGACTTCTCACATTCACATTGGTATGACTGATTTGGAATTGGTCTGAAGAATAAATTGGGGTCATCAAATGAAACCGGATTTGGAGTCCTTCTCATGGGAATATAATTTATACTAATTCTGCAGTATATGTAAGGAGATAACGTACTGTAGAATGTGGGGTCAGTGACTTAGCAAAGTGTTCTAACTGCTTGCTAGAATATCAACATGCACCTTTATGCTAGGTGTAGGTCTGCTGCTCTAAGTGGCAATTTTATGCTGAAACGTTGAGTTCTATCAGCCAGTCTCATGGAAGATTTCATGAGTGTAGATAGAATCGGATGCTCACATACATGAATGCGTATTCAACAAGAATATGAATGCTTGTGTCCATACATGTACAATCCTGCACCTATGCATACAGAGATGAATAGCTGTGCCTGCCAGTAAAGGCAAACACAGGACGGATTGAGACACACAAGACATGTTTCTTTGCATACACAGGCGCAAACAAACTCACTGTCAAGAAGGAAAACCATTAATGGTTTAACTTACCTTTGAAGATACTGCAGTCAAAAAAACAGAAGAAAATAAATAGGAGATATTATTTGAGCCGAGATATGTATCAGCACCACTTTTAAAGTGCTCTGTTTGTACAATCACTTGTACAATAGAGGGTGGGTGTGGGAATGAGAATTACATGGCTTTAATCAAGTTCAGAGAACAGGGTTGGATTCTTGCGCTTGGTCTCAATTTCCTGGGGACTGACAGATCTGAGTTAAGTGTAGTATACTGGCAAGAAACATGCCTTCAGTAATGATTGCTTACTCTAAATATAGGAGCCTCCGAGAATGACCCCTAAACCAATGTATAATTTTTACTCACCAGCATCACTGTAAATTAATTTGTGTACTGATTCCAGTGTTCCATTCTTAAAAAAATTGGCAACACACTCAAAATGATTCAAAGTGTTGAACCATTCCTGGAATGAGGCCGAAGGATGGCTGGTCAATGAGTAGGTACTCCCATTCCACGTGGAAAACTCATCTGTCCCCACGCCTTCTGTCCTTTTAGCACCATTCACCTTCCAGACCAGATTCAGGTGGTCAGGGTAGAAACCAGAGGCCAGCCATACCAATGTGGCCTTGCTCTTCTTTGCTTTGATGGGGAAAAAATGGCCACAGCTGGAGGTATGATTTCATTGTTGTTCCCTGAAACTGAAAGCAACACGGACCAAAGCCTTCACCCTCATATATCTAAATATCAGATCATGTGTATTTTTGTAGAAATATGTGTGTTGGAGACTGGATGCTGAATTAAAAATTCAGTGTGACCTATAGTGCTGAGAATGCAGGATCATGATCTTCAGTCTAAAAGAAAATTGTATTTACATTAAATTTTATTTGTCTTTCCATCATAGTCTGTACTAAATATACCATGCTATACATGACATTTAAGTCAAAATTAGTAGGTTTGTGAACAGAATGTGACTCTGGGATTTAAAATATAAAGGTACAGAGCAAGTACAAAACTTTTTCTCTGAGTACTGACCAAATAGCCAAGCTTACTGAAACTAAGGTACTAATTGAAAAAAATAATATAGTTCTCTGGTTTGTTGTGTTAAGCCATACAATGAGCAGGGGAAAAACTGATCTTCTGCATTCATCCGCTATTGTCTTCATCTCTTTCTGTGTATGTCCATCTCATCAGGTCCTAAGTAAAGATATTTCTGAAAATTCTTAGCTTATTTCAGCTCAATCCTACAGTTTTAAAAATAAAAATAACCAGGCAAACAATTTGACCACCCCTGAAACATATTACCTACAAAATCTTTAACCTACACAGTTACCCAAAAGAATAAAAAAGTGAATGTGTTGTTATTTAGCAAAGAAGTAGTAGGCTATGTTTTCTTGGCTAATTCAGTAAGCTTAGTTCCTGTCACAAAATGTTGTTCATATACAGAGCACAAAAACATAACAGAGTAGTCAAACCCACACCCCACACACCTGTTGAAGAAAACAAGGATTGAAATTGTGAAGGCTTGACTCTGCACTACTAATACCATTTCCACTCTGCTGTAAAATAAGTGCACTAGTTCCATGCTGTCTTCTCTTGGAGCCAAAAAGGACAGAAAATACAAGTTTGTTAGAGTATGGAAAGAAGAAAATGGTACTTCAGTTGTGTATTTCACAGCACTTGTCAGCTCCATCATGTATATTAAAACTACCTCCTTTTTTTTTCCTTGCATAAATTCATGGCAATGCAGAAAAGAATTGAGATCAGAAAAAAACCCAGGGTTAAATTCCTCTTGCCAAAAGTCTGTTTGTCTGTGTTTGAAAATATGAATTATTGAGTTTTGTGGTTATGTATGTGCATTATGTATGAATATTTCCCGTGCTACAGGGATGTTCTGTGATATACCCTCTTTAATTCAGATTCTTCCCATTTATCTTTTCTTGCACTGTCATTGGATGACTTTACAGAATTTTCTCCCATATTAGCTTGTATAGTTTTTCCTGATTTTCTTTTTCAGACTCATTTGACCATCTCCTCTGCTCTTTCTCCTTCCCTACCAGTCTGATAGGAATCCAGTGTATACATCTGAAATCTGAATATCCAGACAGAATGGTAGACAGCTTAGATATGTCATGATAAAAATAACTTTAATGGCTCTAAATAGTGCATAAGTAACCAGACTGAAACTAAAAACAGAAAGTGGAATTTTGACTCTAATGAAATTACTGGAAGATTTATCACCCATTTCAATGAAACTAGCATTTTAACATTTGGTTTTCTATTTTCACTTTCTGGATCCAGTGTTCAGGGTCAGCACTAGTTTGCCTGCACCTAACGAGAAAAATGTCATTTTACCAATTTTTCTGTAGCTGGGCTTGCAGGTCATTTCTATTTCCCTTAAAATGATATCTGGATCCTACCTTTTCAAAGCATAAATGCTGTCAATTAGGAAATGCTGACACACTATCTAGAACTGCAAACTGGTTTTCTGCAGCAATATGTTAATTTTCACCATAGCCATACCACAGTAGGTTTATTCACTCATGCACAACTGCACTTCGGCACCACAATGGCCATCTGCTTACCTGTTTTTAAGCATGCTGTGTTGCCTGGCTCTTTTCTCTCTGTTAGAGGATTCCAGTATCACCAGACTCTACTGATTTAGGTCTCATCAAAAATTCCAAAAATCTTAAGAGAATGGTATTTGCCATATTTTTTTCTTACATAGAACTGTTTAGCCACTCCTTCAAAATGTTGTTTGTTTGCTCCAAAACACCTGTTCCCAAGTTTCTCCCTAATTCATTTTGACCAAACTTCACCATAACCTTTCTGAAAGTCTACATGTGAGAACAGGATTGATCAGGATTTTTTTTATAAACTTAATAAATGCAGCCATTTCCACCAAATGTCCTTATAGATTATATTCATCTTAATGTGTTCCAGACAGAGCTAGAATTATTTTTATATTCCATTCTGATGTGCTCTAGTCTACCCTAACTTTACAGAGCATGAATAATGAGGCACCTTCATGAAAGAACGCATCATCTGAATCCAAACACCCCCCTCTGTGTTTACCCTTATCACACTCCCAGAATCTTGCCCCTTGCACAGCCTAAAACACTCTTCTCATGATTTCCACTTGTCCAGAACTGTTATTTTTGTTGCTTCTCTGAAATATTGGATATTGGCAGAGCACAGACTCACAGTGTAATATCAAAACTACTCATACGTGTCCTGGGCTGCTGTCCAGTGATAAACACCTTAAACATTAAAATATCTTTTTTTTTTTTTTTTCAGAATAATAGCCAAAGGTGTGCTGAAAAGAAGGTATATCAGTCTATCTAAGTAGTACTTGGTTATTAAATAGTCTACACTGTTTTCTAATATTGATTTGAATTGCAGCATAAAAACAGTCCCTCATTTCTCTGTCATTAGTAAAGCACTATACTGTCTGGTTCTGTAGTCTGACATCAATAGCCTCACAAGTTTTAGGAATCATGATCTATATTGTAAGATCCAGTGTCATTCATTTGGACCCCCTCTTGTTTTCTTCCCCTCCAGCTTCCACATCTTTTGCCAGTTCCTTCTGAATATCTGTACAGCCTTCCCAGACCTACTTCTGCCTTTTCCTTTTTCATGGACACACATTCCATTTGGATATGACAGTGGGAGATAGACTGTAGGAATAGAGGGAATCATAATGATTTTGTAGGCATTTTGTACATTCTGTAGGCAGTTTTGTTCTGGGGAAAAGACTTGCTCAGTCACACAGTTCATTTCTGGTAGAACAGAACCAGTAGACTCAGCAAACAGAGTAGAGTCTCTGGGAGTTCTGCATTGTAGAGGTAGTATATTCTTCCAGAATACACTTATCTGACTGGAGGTATCTTACTGTTTGGTCTTGACTCATCCTTCTCACCCCCTTCGGTTTATTCCATTACACTTACTTGTTTGCTAGCTTTCCCCACAGTTTTATTAATCTGACAAATTAACACCAAAGTATCCTATTCACAGGGCAAATTTAATAACAGTAATTCAACTGGTTAGTTTGTCCTCTTCTTCACAGTCCCTACTGTCTTCCTCTTCCTTGACCTTCTTTCCTGAAACATCAGCCTTAACCTTCTTAGAGAAGTTCTGCTGACTCAAACCCTTCCACTGCACTTTTTTTTTCTTACCCAGAACAGTAAGCCATGTTCCTTGTTCAAAAGAGTATTACTGCTCACCTTCATATAAAAATTGTCTGAGGCACTTTTTCTCTCTTTCTCTTTTTTTTTTTGGCACAAAATTTCTATTTCCTAATCTCACATACCCAGAAAAGCCACTCCTGAAAGATTCTCCACCCCCGAAAGAGCTGTACTAGCCATGGAGATTCAGTATGCTACTTCAGTTAGGCAGTGTCTACAGCATTGAAACACCAGGATCACAGGAAAGATCCTGTTCATCCTTCTCTTGCAGTTCTTCACTCTCTTTATTTCCCTTTCTTTCAAGCTTAACAAAAAAAATATTTTTATTTAATCTGTTTTGATGTTAAGCATCCTCTTTCCCATGAACATATAAATACTACTTTTAGGCATGGGATTTAGCAAAACCCTGACTGTCAGGTGTCTCAGACAACAATTTTTCTATTTTTAGGCCACTTATCATATATTCTACCATTTCACAGTCCAGCTGACTGAAGTGTGATCATGCAGCCTGACATTTTCCCTCACCCCTTAATTCTGCAGAATTTTGAATCACTTAATCGCCAATTGCTTACTCATGCACCCTCCTTCCTATAATTCATACAATGATCAGATGCTTAACCCACAAAATTTGTTTTCTCTTCTCCCATAATTAATGTTCTACTTGCTTCAAGTAATGAGGAACCCAAAAGTAGATGTCCTTTTCAAGGTAAAGTTTTATCATAGCCACCAGAAAGAATTCCTATTGTACATGTTTCTTGGGAGATGTTGCTTCAGATATGCAAAAGCTGGCTCCCACAAAAAGGTCAGTACCTCTGGCGTGTGCTTACAAAAATGTTTGTCAAGGAGGGTGAAAGAGAATTGACATAGGCACTCCGTTTTTCTGTCAGCCTCTACTTATCACTCAGTGTAACCACTGAGGTTTGTTGCCTGAGGCTGAGGGGGAAACAGTAAGAAAACAGTACATATCTGCTGTGACAGTGCTAAGGTTCTGAAGGGTTGAGGACAAAGAACCATCCATCAACTCTCTTCCCTCTCTCCCCTCCTCACCTCCTGTGATCTAGGAAATTTTTGACACAGAAGTTCACTAATTGATAGGAGTGGGGAACTGTTTTATTTTCTGTTCTCAGGACCCTGGGGGCCTGACTTGTGCCAACAGGTAATTGTCCCCTATTTCACCTTCACTTCAGATTATATCCTTTTGTTCCAAATGTTATTTCTTAAGTATATTAATCCTTCGCTTGCATTTTCAGACAGCAGTCCCTTGCCATCAGTCCTTCTCCTCCTCATAAAATACATAATTGGAGTTCTAATTTGTCCCTTAATTTATCTTTCAGTTCCTGAATAGAGTGTTATTGCCTTGATCTGCAGATGATTTCCAGCTCACGAGTTTTACTTCAAGAATCAAAACATCACCTTCTTTCTTCTAGGCGTTCCCCACTAATACTCTGTCTGTGTCTCTTTGGGTTTTTTTCCCTTCTTCTGTATCTTTGTCTATTTCTTTGAATCTTACAAAAGCAAGAGTGACCTAGATGGTCTTTTACAATGATCAGGGCAAATGTGGCAAAAATTATTTATGAAAATAACAATTGCTGCTGTAAGACTGATACACACATTAACTTAAACATGACTTGACTAAAATAGAAAATGTAGGTATAAAAAGAAGTAATTGTAAAACAAAATCCTTTCTAGGTTTCCTTTATTTTATTTCAAGCATACTTTGTAAACATTTTCTTAATTGTAACAGTTATCTTGGTCCCTCCTCCAAACTGCAGTGGTTCTGTGTAAGCATAGCTAAAAATTACTGCTAAAATTGTTAAAATCTTGCAGATAGAAGCCCAAATGGCTAAGATTGTTACACTGCGTTGTCTGAGTTAGTTTGTGTAAAGGAGAAATCAACTCAGATTTCCTCCCTTAGTGGGGAAACAGATGCCAAGACTACATGAGTTAGAGGGACATTAAATTATTCAGTTGAGGATATAAAAAAGTGCTCTTTTTGTTCACACCTTGTGAATTTGACACCCATCAAGGCATTTTTGTAAAAAGCAGTCTCTCAGAAAACAGTTCTTTGTTTGAAGCAGCCATGAGAGTACATAAGTAATAGTTGTAATCAGAACACCAAATAAATCTTTGTTCAATATGATATTTCCTTCTGTTCTGAAGTGTTTTGAGGAGATTAAAGAATTCGCAAGCACAGACCAGGATAAAATACTCCATTATATGGAATTATACCCATCTGTCCCATAGCACTAAGACTTTTTTTTTTTTTTTTTTTCTGATAATGACATTAAAAAAGATATTCCAGGTTCCCCTCAAATCTATCATCAGATCCTCTTCAAACAAATGTATTAACTGACAGGTGACCTTTAATCTATTCACTGTATTTTTCTTCTTTACCATAATGAGCCTGGTGCTGTCACCAAGCTAATCTCAAGTAAGAACACAGTGAGAGAAAAAGCAGCTACCATGCCTTTCCTGAAAGGGTGTCACTTCTCATCTGGCTAGTGTTCGGTTCCCTTCTCTACCACTCTTGAATTCTGCATCTATTCTGGCTAGAAATCAGCCTTTTTTTTTTTTTTTTTTTTTTTTTTTTTTTTATTAGCAGGTGTGTGAGGATTTGCTTAGATGACAGAAACCAGAATTGGAAGAGAGCTCCTCTTCTGACCAGTCACACGGGCAAATATAGTGGATTAAGTCCTAAAGCCTTGCACCTTCCTGATTTTGCTGTACTTATTTTAAATAGGAATGCAAAAATGTTAGAATAGTTGTGTTGGTCATACTGAAAGGTTCTTATAAACTAATACAATATGAAGAGTGAATGTCAAACAAAAACTGTAAGACTAAAGAAAGCATGTAGTGGTTACTTTTCTAAACTACTCTTTAATCTCCAATGCTTTTAAGTTCAGGGATCACAGTAAAATTTAAAAATCCTTTATAGTTTTGTCCTAATTTTCTGATCTCACACTAACTCCAGATAAACATTAAATTTATAAGTGTTCTTAGTAATAGAGACTTTTCCTGCTTTACATCAGCAGAGATGGATTTAACAATTACTCTAAGGTGCCTTCTGCCAAGGTAATAAAACATTTTAACCCTGTTTCCTAAATCAACCCTTTAGCACGTTTTATTGGTTGTGTCAGCATTTTATTCTGTAACGAATTAATATGATACAGTAAGAAATAAAAATACCTAAGTAAACTTACCAAGCACTGTCAGCTGGGTACCTTGTCCAAAGTGCAGTGATGAGTTTGCACAATATTTTGAAGGACCAGAATTTTCTGCCACTAGAAAACCTCAACTGCACATAAAACCTGTATGATATCATGCTATATGCTACTTTTCATGACATCTCAAACAGAGAGGACCCTTATGCTCTTATTCATGTTAGAAAATACAGTGCTTTTTCAGAATAATATGCTGAAATAGATGGTATATTGCTCCAAGAGGTACTATACGTAGTGCATCCAGCCTATCTAGGAAGTAGATTTTTCCATCTCTATCTGTGTCTCACAGACTAAGACTGTTCTCAGTCTTAGTCTCAAAATTCAATCTGAGACACCTTCTGTAAATAAAAGCAGAAACAGTGAAGCTCTCCCCTTTCTGCCACCAGGAAGCTGTGCTAGAGAAGAATTGAGTTTCTGAAATGCATCTATTCAGCACCTATTTCCCCTGACTTCCTTTTTGCTCACTTTTCATACAAAAGATTTCTTTTTGTCTTGAAAAAAAAAAAAAAATTCCACTGTCATGTATTTGTTAAAAGTGTAAGCTTCTTTTCCTTACCTAGTACCATTACATGGGTCTCAGGAACAAAGTGCTGAATATGTATCACAGTACTACAGAGACTACCTCAAAATATAACCCTCCCTGTAATAAAAATGGGGGGCAGCAGTATGAATATCCCATGTGAAAAATCGAGGAAGGAGGTGTGTCATCCTAGGAGACAATTCCAAGGAGTGATGCTCACAGGAGACATTGCAGGAATGCTGATAGTGCTAACAAGTAGGTCACAGAAGCCACTTCCCAAAAGGAAGCGGTGTAAATGCTGTTTCACAGGAAATTGGAAAATAGTCTGGACAACATCCTAAGGAGTATCCTTTTGGGTATGTTGTCAAAAGGATAATACGGGTGTGGGAGGGTAGATACAGTAGAACTCCTTGTATCCTCCTACCTATAAGTCACTTACCTGACATAGTGCTTTCTGTTTGTAACACTGTTTATAAACAGGTTGAAATTACTATTTTTTTCTTGTGAAGATATTGTACTCATTTCTTCTTATCCCTCAAGCAGGCAGAATCTTCCAAGCCCACATGTGGGAGAGGCAATATGGTTGGCATGTGGCTGCTCATTAATGACCATAAAACTGCTGATGGCTGTTTAGAGGATGATCGGATGATCTGCTTGAGACTGTCTGGTAATGGTGGAAATATATATAGAATGGTGATGGACTGAGCAAAATGTATTTCTACACACACGGTCTGCCATGAAGTCTAGACTAGAAAACCTCCCATGCGAAGACAAACAGGAGTGCTGTCAGGATTTTGTTACAGGACAAAAAGACTTTTCTATGTGGATGATTTCTGGGTATCAGGAGAAGAGGATTCTCTATGTTTTGTCCACCTGCTCTGCTGAGCATACTCCTCAGGAGTATAATCTCAGAGTAAGCTTCAGAGTTTATCCCTTCTCGGAGGAGTAAAGGTCTCCCAAAGAAACGCATCACTGTGTCACCAGTCTTCCCACAGTGGTTGGGCTTCATACAAAACCAGTGCTTCCTTCAGCTCTACCACCAGTGGTTGAGGACAAACTTTTGAAAATGCAAGAGTCTGTGCTTATATACAGTGAATTTAAAAAACTAGGTCTTGTCTGTGTTTCATGTCTCTATTGCAGAGACATCTGGAAAGATAGAAGGACTCCTGTACCTCTGTATGCAGATTTTTACTGTATTATTTGTCTCCTGTGACCCACTACCTTTCACTAAGCCAATCTTGTATTTATATCTGATGAGAAACAGGAAGGGGAGATGGTTGTGATAGGCTGAAAACTACAGAGACACTGATATGGGTATGAGCACATCATACAGATGCTAAATACTAGTAGGAAGCTAAATAGCACAGGTACACTAACAAGGGGGAGTTCAGGGTTGTCATGGGGTGGTTTAGGGGTGAGGTAGTCACGGGAAGAAAACACCGCTCAGTGACATGGAATCTAAAATATATTTACTAAATCAGATGGGCATAGTGAGAAGGTAGCAATTCCTATTCTAAGATTTCTGGCATGTGCACATACACACAAATTGTACAGCAAACACATCAATCAAACCTCCCCAGTGCAGCTATAGCCAGCATCTTGAACTCAGGTGAACAAGACGCTCACTCCAACCTAAGTCCAGGATGGTCACCTGGATATTAATGTGGACCTCAGACTCAGTCTTCTACAGTATTGGACATTAGTTAATGTGTTTGTCTAGAGGAGCTCTTGTCTCAAATATTTCTCTAACTTAGATGATTGGCAGAAGTCAATGTTGGCCTTGCTAGTCATGACACACCAGGTTGGCCGCTTTGACTTTCTCCATATATGAAGCCAATTAGCATTTGTTACCTGGGTGACAGTCACCTTGTAGCCTCCCACTGTGTATGTAACAAGGATAGAAAGTTTTTAAGTTTTGATGAATGTAATCCAGAACTCTCAGCTAGGCCTCCCGAATAATAGTGATATGTGCCTTTGTTTCTCAGTGAATCTTGGAATCACTTAATGAGTGAGAACAGGACAGGTGTCGTCAAAGTCTCGTTCCATCTGAGTGGTACTTTCAGGCAGGCTTCACTCTGTAGTACTTTCTGTTAGGGCCTGAGCGTGCCTGTAGGCATTAATGTCCCCAACCACCTTCATCTGTCACCTCCACCCTCTGCCCATGGGCCCAGGATCTCCATTTAACCTTAGACCTGGGCCTTCAATTATTCCCTAGTCTATGTTGTAGGTGTACCTGTATCCAGCTCTCTCTCTGATCCTGCCTCCTGAATGGACCTGGTACCTATGTGGTAGGTAGCTTTTTTCTTGATGGATCCCCTCATATGCACATCGTTGCTTGTCTCCAGTCATGTCTTTGGTCCTGTATCTTGGATAGACTCTGAACCATGACTCCATGCAACAGCAATGTGCCCTTGTGGCAAAGAAAACTAATGGTATCCTGGTCTGCATTAGGAGGAATGTTGACAACTGGTTGAGAGAGGTGATCCTTTCCCTCTGCTCAGCTCTGGTAAGGCCACACCTGGCGTCCTGTGTCTGGGCTCCCCAGTAAAAGAGAGACATGGACATACTGGAGAGTATCCAGAAAAGATCCACAAATATGATTAAGGGACTGGAACATGTCTCATACGAGGAGAGACTAGGAGAGCTGGGATTGTTCAACCTGGAGAAGAAAAGGCTTCCAGGGATCTTGTGAATGTGCACAAATACTTGAAGGAAGTATGCAAAGAGGACAGAGACAGGCTCTTTTCAGTGGTGTCCAGTGACAGGACCAGAGGCAGCAGGCACACACTGAAATGCAGGAAGTTTCTTCTAAACACAGGGAAACACTTTATTACTCTGAGGGTGACTAAGGACTGGAGCACATCATCCAGAGAGCTTGTGGAGTCTCCATCCTTGGAGATAATTAAAAGCCGCCCAGGCCCTGGGCAACTGGCTCTGGGTGGCCCTGCTTGAACTCAGTGGGTGGACAAGATAACCTCCAGAGGTCTCTTCCAACCTCAAATATTCTGTGTTTCTGTGAAAGGCTGCATTTTAGCCTCCTTTTCAATCCTGTCTCTGGATCACAGTCCAGCTCAATCTTCTTTTGCTCCTGATTGCACTTCCTGAATATATCCTGGACCTGGTTCACTGCTTGCCTTGCTTGGGACTGTTGGTTAAACCCTGCACCCTACTCTGCTTGCTTTGTTCAGGTGCTGTAGGACTATGCCCTGGTTAGTGATTGCACTGCCTGAGCTGTGGTTACCCTCAGTTCCTGGTTTGCCTTCCCCACTGGCCCTTGCTACTTCTTGTCGTGTTTCTCAGCAGTATATACATAACTAATAATGCCTAGACATATTCATACAGTCTCTCTTCACAGTAGTTTCCAGGAGAAAGTAGTAGAAGCCAAACATAGAGAATGATGAGGGGTTTCAGCAGGGAGCGGAGAAGATTTATCAGCCATGCTGGAGAAGTGATTCAGTATGAGCTTCAAGAATGATCTTTAACAGGAATGATTTGTGCAAGCCTTGGATGCAAAATCAAGCATTACAGTGTAAAACAAGGGAGATTTTTTTTTTTTTCATGTGCAAGAGGACAATAATCTAACTGGGAAGAGCATAACATGAACTAATGTCTGGGAGCTGAAATCAGTGATGTACTGAAGCCTTATTGGGGTGCTGGAGCATGTCCAAAGAAGATCAATGAAGCTGGTGGAGTGTCTAGAGAACAAGTTGTATGAAGAGTAGCTGAGGGAACTGGGGTTGTTTAGTCTGGAGAAAAGGAGGCTGAGGAGAGACCTTATTGCTCTCTACAACTACCCAAAAGGAAGTTGTAGAGAGGTGGATGTCAGTTTCTCCTCCCTGGTAGCAAGCAATAGAACAGGATGAAATGGCCTCAAGTTGCATTGGGGGAGGTTTAAATTAAAAATTTGGAAAGATTTCTTCACCAAAAGGGTTATCAAACATTGGAACAGGCTGCCCAGGGAAGTGGTTGAGTCACCATTCCTGGAGGTGGTTAAAGGACAGGTAGGTGTGGCACTTAGGGACATGGCTTTGTGGTGAACTTGGCAGTGTTAAATTTACAGTTGGACTCGATAATCTTAAAGGTCTTTTCCAACCTAAATGATTCTATGATTCTATCAAATATCTCCTGATGGAAATAAGTCTGAAATACTCAGGAGTGAAGGTACTCAACTACTGAAACAAATTATCAAGAAAGGATGTGTTTTCTTCACTTCTTGAAGTCAGCATTACTTTCTTTATTATCTTAGTGAAAAGTAAAATTAAACTTATACATTTTTGGTGTGCAATATGAAAGATATCAAGACGATAATTTAATGGCCCCTTCTGGCCTCTTTACAGATACATGAGCTCATGAAAATGGTAGCTCTGAAATTAGTTTCCAAACTGGTTTTGGAAGTTTGGCCTTGGCTTGTTGATGCCAGCTGCTGGCAGACTGAGGTCTTCTCATGGTTTATCTTTTCCAAGAAAAGGAGGTATTTACCCAGTTTATTCTTTTGTAAGGCTCCATTGGGTGGAGACAATAAAGGAAAAATGCATTTTCATACCACCTGTAGCTGTTCTCTAATCTGGAGTTGATGGGTCATCTTTGACACTGCAAAGACTGACCTAAATTATGTACAGGTTATTCTAAGCAATTAACATATGGTATAGGCAAAGATTGGCTGCTCTCTACACATGTTTATTCTTCTTCTTAGGAATGTTTGTGACATGCCCTAGGGAGTGGAACAATTCCTTCTGGGCCAGGTTCATCAGTCTGGACAACCTTATTGTCACTATAGAGACATCACAAGATGGGAATGGACAAGACTCTTGACCTGTGGAGATGTGAGTAGTACTTCCCTTGCTTTTTGAACTCTGTTCATCAATAGCTCTGGCCTGTTACTTTCAGTCTTCTTCCAAGGGTTACATTTTGATAATAGTCAAACTTTAATTTTCACAGCCTTCCTGCATCTCTCACATGATACCGTCATCTTACATCCTTATCCAGTGTTGGATGCAGTAGAACAGTGTGTCTATCCTCTAGCAATATAAAAACACTAGCATCACTCCAATCACATATCAGGGTGGGTGTAGGCAAAAGTACAGAAGAATATTCTAAAGACCCATATGCATGTTAAACAGGAGTACACCATAGACGTAATGCTGCTCACACATGTCCTGCCAGTGTTTCTTTTTGTGTAGGAGTTAAAAAATGTATTTGTTATTTTCTTTTATTCTCACTCTGAAATATATACATATTTTTTTTTTTTTTTTTTGTCCAAATAAGTGTGTAAACTTCATTTACCTATATTTTAGATTCTGTACTATGAGCAAAAGAGCAACTTGGTCTTCATGGCTTGTTTAGTACTTGGCTTCTATGATGAGAAAGGCAGCAGTGAGGCCCTTCTGTAACAGCAGTGGGAATTACATTTCATAATAAAGAAATGGGGGAGCTATGCTGGTGTGTAGATGCTTCCATACTTTCCATCTGGCAACATGCATGATATTGCAGACAATGCCAAAAAAGACTTAGGTTTTTTCCTTCCTCTGCACCCAGTAAATTTATGACTGTAAAACCACAGGATCATGTTTTCTGCCCTCCACCTCCATTTTTCTTTTCTTCATTTAGCCTAAGATTGGACCCATCTTTTCAGATTATGAACTGCTGTGGCACAAATATTGACAAGGTTGGGATGAAACGTAGGAAGTTGATTTTTGCTAATGCTGACAAGCTGTGCCACTGTCCATCTAAATAGTGCTGTGCAGTAGGCATGGGTTGGTTAATGCCCTAAATACTCTAAGATGGCTAGAAGTGAATTGTAAGTTCTAACTATTTTATTTGGGGTTTCTGAATCCAATAGCCCAATAGTGTCAAAGATGCTGCAGCTCCTTTTCCTTATGTTTCCTTGGTTTTTCCACTAACAACGCTGAGTGTGTATTCCCAAATGTCATAGAAACACATGCACAATACAAATGTATATACACATGCAGCAGCCACACAAATCAATACAGACAGAAACACTCATGCAAACACAGATGGCACTAAGAGACCTGCATGTATGAGCCCCTGAGGCCTGCAGCCCCACTCCACTTACTGGTACAGACCCACTCACTCACAGGTACAAACACTCATTCACTCCTCCACGCACACATGCTGGACCACAGGAGCTGGACTTAGACACTCAGTGTACCCATCAACTGGCCCCAGATTCCCCAATCCTCTAGTTACATCATATACCCCACATGCACACAGGGACCCACACTTACACTCTATGGATCTCCCAGAAACTGGCCTTAGACATACAGTCTGCTTGCTAGCTGGCACTGAATACTCTCTCCCCCAGCTGCTGGTACTGGAATGTGGAAGCCTCTGAAACCTGCAGCCCCACTCCAGTTGTTGGTACACACTGTAAGTACTGAATAAGCTTTCTACTGTTCTCATAACAGATAAATTATTCTTAGTGAAAATTCTTTAATGTGAGTTCCTTATGATACTACACATCACTGGAAAGGGTGTAGTAGGACGTTATTGCTACAAAAGACCAAATGAAAAAACAACAACTCATGCTTCTTGAATGGAAAAGAAACTAAAATTTTATTCCTAATTCAAGGACCTGGGTTCTCAACCCGTGAGCATTAAGAAGGTGTGAGTTTTAAAGATATGATACAATACAATATGATGTGATATGGAAATATGGTGAAAAACCAACATTGATTACAACAATGTGGAAAGAACAGGAGGGGTACAGAGATTCACCAGGAAATAACATTCAGTCATTCTTAGACAGAAGCACAGATCCTTTGCTATAATTTGCTGTGTTCTTGTTGATGTGATGAAGAGGACTCTTCATTTATTCTCTATACAACTTGCCACCAGCCTAATTGAAAACAAAACAGAACGAACAAATAAAAAAAAAATAAGCAAAAGGAACAAATACAATAATCTAAGAAATAATAGACCATATTTATCAGTGTCTCAACTGTTGTGTCTCCTGAGAACATTAACAGAAATTACCATGTTTTATCTCCTTGCTCTGTCCCTTTTTTGTACCACGGAAGTATCTTGACCCATACAAATTATTTAGTTACATACTGAACTACAATCTCGGCACACAATTTAGTGTGTTAGATGACTAATCTGGTGGCCGTCTACATTAGTGACTGCGTCAGTGGACAAGGGAAGAGCTAAAGATGTCATCTATCTGGACTTCTGTAAGGCCTTTGATACAGCCCACCACAACATTCTTGCTGCTAAGGTGGAGAGATATGTGTTTAATGGATGGACTGTTACAAGTTATTGGATGGATGTCCACATCTGAAGAGTTACAATCAATGGCTCGATGTCCAGGTAGAAACCAGTAACAAGTAGTGTCCTCAAGGGTCTGGACTGGGACTGACACCATTTAATATCAGTGTGATAATTTAATTACCAGTGTGTCACTGATGGGGGGACTGAATGCACTGTCATCAAGTTTGCAGGTGGCACCACTCTGAGTAGGGCAGCTGATACGCTTGAGGGAAGGGATGCCATCCAGAGGGACCCAGAAATGCCTGAGAAATGGGCCCATGTGAACATCATGAAGTTCAACAAGGCCAAGTGCAAAGTCCTTCACCTGGGGGTCCAGGCAATCACCAGGATCGGTACAGACTGGGGGGATGAATGGTTAGAGAGCAGCCCTGTGGAGAAGGACTTGGGGATGCTGGTGGATGAAAAATTGTATGTCAGTTGGACATGTGCACTTGCAGTCCAGACAGGCAGCTGTGTCCTGGGCTTCATTAAAAGAAGTGTGGCCAGCGGGTTGAGGGAGGTGATTCTGCCCCTCTGCTCTCACATGACCCCCCCCTGGAGCCCCGCATCCAGTTCTGGGGGCCCCCAGCACAAGGAAGACATGGGCATGTTTGACCGGGTTCAGAAGAGGGCCATAAAAACGATCAGAGGGCTGGAACACCTCTCCCATGAAGAAAGGCTGAGAGAGTTGGGGTTGTTTAGCTTGAAGAAGAAAAGACTCCAGGGAGACATTCTTGCAGCCTTTCATTATACAAGGAGGCTTATGAAAAAGATAGAGACTTTTTACCAAGGTCTGCAGTGACAGGACTAGGGGCAACAATTTCAAACTGATACAGGGTAGCTTTAGATTAGATATAAGGAAGAAATCTGTTATGATGTGGGCAGTAAGACACTGGAACAGGTTGCTCAGAGAAGCTGTGGATGTCCCATCATTGGAAGTATTCAAAGTTGAGTTGGAAGGGCATTTCAGCAACTTGATCTAGTGGAAAATGTCCCTATTCATGGTAGGGGTGTTGGACTAGATGATCTTTAAAGGTCCCTTCCGACCCAAACTATTCTGTGTTTTTATGACTGTGATCCAGTAAAGCACAAGCCTATTCCATCTAGTACCCTTGGAAAAGGACACAAAGACATTATTGAGATTGTGTTCATACTCACCCTCAACATCTCCCAGTCCTGCTTTTAAAGGAACAAGTCCTGAAGCTTCCACTACTCTCACTGGGAATATCTTTCAGCCATATGAGAAACTTACTGATAAAAATTATTTCCTGGTAGTTAGTTAAGTCTCTCTCATTTGTTCAGATTTATCCCATTGTTCTTTGTAAATCTTTGTAAGTCTTTGTTCAGATTTATCCCACGTATCTCCTCAAAACCCGTGCTTATTATTTCACTGCAGGCATGAGTCCCTTTTCCATGCTTACAGAAAGGTATCATAAATATGATATTTCCCTTCTTTACTTTCTGGAGTTGTCCTTCATTTTCATCTTTTTTCCATGTGTTTAAATAGTATTTTGAGAAGGAGTTTCTCTTCTAGATAGCATTGGTTTTATTTGAGTACTGGAAAAACAATAATAGAAAACTCATCACATGATTTTTCAAACCACCCTGCAAAAATCCTGGCAGAATACATGGAGAACTACCCCACAACTGAGAGCAGATCCAGTCTGTATCCACTGATCCTTGTACTAGTGAGTAAGCTCAACCTTTTAGTGGCACGCTTGCCTACCTTGGCTGTCCACACCAGACTGCTCACCAAAACTGCATAGAGCAAGGCTTTGCTGCAGAGAATGAGGTAAGTGAGCTTCAGAGAATTTCCATAGTGCAAGTAGGACTCTGCAAATCAAACAGCATTTGTGTATTGAATTATCATCATCAGAAGAGACTAGATCTAATGTAGCATTAGCTAAGCAACACAAAGGAACTAGAGCTAAATGAATGGCTCTGTTGACACAAGATAGAAAGGCATGGGAAAGAACACTGTGATTCAAAGAATGGAAAGAGAAAGCGAGTCTAGGAAAGACAGCAATTGACTTTATGCTAAGAAAGTATGTCCTGATTGGGAATGTTTAACCATTGTGTTGCTACACCTACTGAAAAACTAGGCTGTTCATGTGAATCCCTCCTAGGAACTCAAATTAAACTGAATCACAAGATACAAATTTTTTTCACCTGTTATTGTCAGTGGCCTTCTGAGTGCTGCTGATATATTAGGGAGGTATTACATAGCACAGAATAATATGGTATCTAGAATTTTTATTCTTGCAGATTTTTCACTCTTAAAGGAATTGCAGTAGTATTGACACCAGTCTGATCTTGGTTCAGCCCTAAGATTCCTGAAGCATTAAAGAAGTTGGTAAGAGTATAAATATGTATACATAGAGGAAAGAAACATAATTTTTAATATTGATATCCTCACAGTTTGGAGGAGAATGTGACTTGTAATGAGAAATATTCTGAACTTGATGGTAAGAAATATTCAGAATTCCAGATTCCGAATCTTGATGTCATAATCACTTGGCTAAGTATTAATTTTTAATTTCATGGCTGAACAAGCAGATTCCCAACAGAAGGCAGTGTTAAGGACTGGAAGAGATGATAAAAAGAGCAAATTACACTCTATAGGAAGGCTTCACAATTTCTTCTGTTATTGCAAAAGGGAATCATAAAGAAGACCTAATAAAATCAAAACACAACTACATACAGCATGCACGTACAACCCTTCTAAAGTTCTTCTTTTTTTTTTTTACTCTAACATACAAATCACTTAGATGAAGAAGTACAAGTTATTCTTGTAGTGGAAATATCACACGGCTTGTACTTAGCATCAGTAAAACTGGAAGCAAAATACCTACAGATATTTGTCTGTGAGAAGACACACGTACCTTCCGTGAGTGCACAACCTGAAAGAGAAAAATGAACTGAAAGTCATGTTTCTCTTCAATGTAAATAGAACACAAATTTTAGATGTTTCAATTTACAATATACCACCTGATTCATTTTACTATACTACATATTTTTTATACTATTCATTTAACTATAATACAGAAATTTCTCAGTGAAAATCTGAAGAAACCTTTCAAAAACTATAGCTGTATAATGATAATGTGGATACAGAGGCCCAGGAATATGAAGAGACATATACAAATACCTACATATTTACATATATATTTTTGCCATAACAACACCCTGTATAGAAGCTGGACATAGATGTGTTTCACATCATAGCCCACACCCTTTTGATTTGTGATTTCTAGTTTGTACAGCATGGTGATACACATTTTTTACTCACCAGCATCACCATAGATTAATTTGTGTATCGATTCCAGTGTTCCATTCTTAAAAAAATTGGCCACACACTCGAAACGATTTAAAGGGTTGAACCATTCCTGGGCTGAGATCCTCAGGCGGCTGGTCAATGAATAAGTACTCCCATTCTGTGTGGAAAACTCATCTGTCCCCACGCCTTCTGTCCTTTTAGCACCATTCACCTTCCAGACCAGATTCAGGTGGTCAGGGTAGAAACCAGAGGCCAGGCATACCAATGTGGCCTTGCTCTTCTGTTGGATCTCTTGTTTCGATGGGGAAAAGATGGCCACAACTGGAGGTATGATTTCATCATTCTTCCCTAAAACAGAAAGCAGTATTGACCAGAATCTCCCATTACTATCTTCAATCAGAAACCCCTTAAAATTGTACTGTATTTGTGCTGTGTGACTGCTGATATATCTGGTCTTTTAACGAATTTCTACTAGATGATTTATATCTATTAGATAGGTAGACACCAGGAAACTGGAAGTCTTTACCCATTACACAGAAGCATAAAAGATGTGGCTACAGAAGTGCATGAATGTTTGAATTTGTGGTATTGCCTCTGTCAGAAGAATAGGAAAGCTGAAAAGAAGCTGAGCAAACAGGTAGGCAGAAAACTACCCAGTAGTGCTATAGAGCCTGTGTTTGTAATATTGTACTAATAGATAATAGTCTGTGTTATAAGGCGCAAACATCTTCACATTCCTTGAGATGTACTAAGACATGATGTTTATTGCAGTTTTCAGAATTATACTGCCGTGTAATACCTTACATGAACCTCCCCATTTGAGAGGTGACTTGAGCGGAAAGAGCTAATCTTTCTCTGTGTCTGAAGTGAAGAACACTTTAGGCAGGTAACCTGAGTCTGCCTCGGACAAGTTTTGCTTTAGCTCTTAACTTCTGATCCTCTTCTAAGACTATGAAATGTCTCTTTATGTTATTTAATATTTAGGTTATCCTGGGTATGAGAAACCCTCATCCTAGGCTACACATCTTCCCAAAATGATACAAGATTCTCTACACTCACAAGTTGTCCCCTGCCCTAAAGGGCTTAATGCCTACATACAAGACTAAACCAAATAGACTTCTATAGTCAGAAGTATATACAAGGCAACAATGAGATGTTACTCAGAAGCTAGGCACAGATCCTAAAAAGCGACTTTTTTTTTTTTTTTTTTTTTTCCCCCATATACTTTATTAGAGTGCCTTTTTTATTCATCTAGCATGGTAAGCTCACCGATCGTTGTATCCAGGTCTGCAGAATGCACATGGAAACAGAAATGCAGAGAAAACTACGGAGCCAAAGAGAAAACTTACTTTTTTTCAGTGTGAAGGCACTGTAAATTGTAGATATTCTTCCTGATCACTCCCTCCTTTCTAGAGTGGAGAGAATGTTCAGAATTGGCAGAAACTTCTATCTTGCATAGATCTTGACCCCTAAGCCTTAGTGTTTTCTTTCAACTATTAGGCTTACTCATGATTGTCGGTGCTTAGTCTACAAAGATGACTTGGGTGCTTTTGTGAAAAAGTGCAAGCTTGTACAGACTTCAGAAGAGGTAACTAGATAGTAATAGAGACAATGCCCTAGAAGGTTTGGCACTGCTCTGCTTTCCTTCCAGTGGATATGAGGAGAGGTTGATCACTTTCACTGATCTGTTCTAGTACTTGGCTTTATGAATTTTCTTCCTGTCCTAACATTTTTTCTGACACAAATTAATTGGCTTATAGCCTAAATGGCTAATAAGTGAAGGCATGTAAACAGATAGGGAAGACAGTAAAGAAAAATGAGAGACCTTTAACAGACTAAAGCAAAAAAAGACAAAGAGGCATGCAGGTGAAAAAGGCAGACAGAAAGAATGATAAAACTACTGGAAAGACAAAGCCAGAGAATAAGCATGCTTGAAATGGAATAAGGATACTTATACAAGCAAGAACAGAGGCAATCAGAAAAAAGTGTTGTCAACAGCCCATTCTGTTCTGGTCTTCCACAGTGTTCATAGTAGACACTGGCACAATGCTTGGTTTCCCTGCCTGACTCAACAGACACAGGAAGCCAGACTTCACCTCTGAAATGTTGCTTTTGACTGTTACATAGATGAACTGCAAAAACTTGCAGACCAAAGAATTTCCCAACCTCTATAATGTTTGTTCCCAACATGTTTTCTTGGGGAATGGGATGAAACAGAATTATTTCTTCCTTTCTCCCTTCATGAAGTTCCCAGTAAGGGAAGAGAAAAGCAACAGACACAAGGATCTCAAAATTCATGCGTGCAAATCCTACACTTCCATATTAGCACATTTCATTTTAATAACCAACCAATAAACATTAATTCTGTCATCATGGGTGTATGAAAAAAAAATCATTATTCTGCTATTAATTAAGAATACTCTTGCCCCTTAAACCAGTATCACGTGTATCACAAAGATCTGACTTCTGTCTTAGTAGGACTGTGAGTTTTGTTCCACTGCCAAAGTACAGTCTTTCATTATTCACACTGTTTTGCAGCTGCTGGAAAACCTCTCCTCTACTCTTAGTCCTCTGAGCCAAACATGCGGACTAACTCTCCCCTCGTGGTACTAGCAAAAGAAGAAACACACAATACATTAATTTATTGTCCCCTAAAAAAAAAAATAAAGGTCTGTAAGGAAACACCACATCTGTGTGTCTAGCCAGGTGAGATCAATCTCAGAAATACCTCTTCCAGAGCCCTTTTTCTTCAGGCTTATGTGAATTGTTTGCTGCAGCTTTCATTATTTCTTTAGAGGACATTTATCTATTTATCTAGGTGTACTATTAGAAAATAATCTCCCATATGCAGACAGAATAATTTTCTTTGCTTATTTTCAACTAAACAGCCTAATTTCCTTAATTTCCTCATTTCATTTCAACATCATGAATATTCCTCTCTTGTAAAATATTTTTTTTTTAATTTATTTTACTTACTTTACTTATATGTTGTAATATATAACACAGGACCGTAGTCCACTCTCCCCACTGTAGCAGTTCCTAACCATCCCTCCTTTTCTCCTTCCCTAGAAGAAAGTCTCTGCTTTTATTCTCTCTGCTCTCTTAGCTATGATTATAAAAGTTATCTGCATGATTCACTATGGACAATGAGGGATCAGTGTATTGATTTTCGTCGGTTCAGGCACCACACTGAAGTTCAAAAAACATGCTGATCACTGATTTTTTCCTATGGAGATGTGATTTTATCACTCATAATCATTTCATTCTGCAGTGGAAATGTGTAGTATGAAAGCCTGAGTTATCAATTCTTCTGACTCCAGGAGCAACACAATGAGAATAAGAGATCACCATCATTTATGAGAGTCTTAGAAGCAACCTTGTTTTCCCTTGAATTTGGAGGAGAGAGACCCCAAATTCAGAAATGTGGCCCAGAGAAACATTCCCTGAGAGCTACTTTTAATTTAACTGAACCACATATTCTGTTTCTGTGGTTTTCAGTGGCCGTCTGAGCATCTACTCTGAAATCGAGAGATCATTGTCCTAAATGATCTTTTCACCTTCATCCTGACAAGCCTATTTTGTTGAAACAAACTTGCTGTGCTGTGGAGAGTTGTTTTCTACAACAACAAGGAAGTAAACAGCTGCAGAGGCTGTTAGTATTGCTTATGACAAAGTTGAGTATTGATTTGTGGCTTCTATTTTGTCAACTAATAATGTTAGTGCACTTATTCATCTTTCTCAGTTATCTGAGATAGATAACGGAGTAATTTAAGTTTGTAGAATCTTGATTTTGTTTTCTAGACCTGTCCAAAGTATAACTGTAACTCAGTTCTTTCCAGACAGCCTTTCATTGACTTGTCCTTAATTACCTGTAGTCCCAAGAAAACTAGCAGTATAGAGAAGAGTCATACTTTTGGGGAATAGTGGGTTTTGCAGATGCTGATTTATTAAGACAATATACTTATGATATGCAACTATTTTTAACCCATTCCTTATCCTAATTATTTCTATGGACAACTTTTTATCCACTGAAAATACATTCATTCTGTTCTCCAAAGTCAAATGTGTGTCCTTACATAGAATACTAAACTTAGTCTATTATCCAAAGTAGACTTGGTTACTAGCACATTAGGAAAACACCAGTTTAATGAAAGACAGAATAAGGTTGAAGTGAACTTCTCTAAAGATAATACCTGGGATTTGAAGTGATTTAGAAAAGAAAACAGAAATTTCTTACCCATTACTGTAAGTTTTGTGCCATCGCCGAAAATCATGCTATTTGTGGCCACAGTGACAAAGTGTTGTATCATAAGCTAAGAAAAGGGATACACTGCAGTTGAATTCAGTAAACAGAAGATTAAGCAATGTTTACTGTATCTGGAATCTCAAAAATCTGTCAATCTCTACCTGAAGAGCTTTGGCAGAAAACCAGCTTGAAATGTCATTGTATAATCTGTAGAATTTATAACAGCATTTCCCAGCGTCTCTTGATACTGATTTTTATTGTCTACATTTCACCTCAAGTTAGTTTACAACCTTTCTCTAATCTCCATGTTATCTCATTGATATTACCTGCTATTCTCATTTTGCAGATTGAGAAACCATGAAGATGTACCCAGAGTGGGCTGTCATTGTCTAGAAATATAATTCCTCTACAAGTAGAGTTTCCTTACTGTCAGTCTTGTACTCTAAGGATTTTGAAGCCTTCCTTTTTGTAACTTGTGGAGTTAATAATCAAATAATATTTGCTTTGTGGTTGTCATAGTCACATGCCTTTTCATATAGGTGGGTTGCCTTTGTGGCACTGAACTAAAACAAATCCATTTGTTTTCTCTTCAATGGCAGGCCAGCCATCTTGAATAGTTTTTCAGGATCCCAGTCAGTTTTCTGATAGGTTAAAAGTAATGCACACAAGGAGAGTCCAGAAGAATCAGTAGGCTGGTCTCAGACAAATTCTTGATATCCATTAGGAAGAACTGCAACAGAGAAGGATTGTAGAAAAACCTTTGTGCTCGCAGGCATGAGTCAGTCAGTGGACACTGGAGACTCATTTAAGCGAGAAAACCCCAACATTTTTTATATAGTGCCTCTGAGAGATACCTGCTACATGTCAGAATTCCTTTTCTAACACTTTTATCACATTATTAAAGAATTATTTTGTGGTCCATTGTAAACATTATAGATCAGAAAAAAATACTAATTCTCTGCTTCACATACTCTGATAGGTTTTAGGTGTATCTGCAGTCAATCTGGTTTGCTGAAAATTATTTCAGTGTCTCAGCATCTCCTGGCTTGTTTTCCAGAGAGGGCAGGCTCGGTTCTCGGATGATGAAAGTAAGACCTAGCATACTACGCCTGTCAAGAAAAAGCAAAACAGGACAGGCCCACCGTGCTGCAGGATTCTCTGTAGCTGTCTTAACACACTTTCCCACAAGGCTTACGCACATATGGGTTTTTGTAAAGGCCTCCTGGGGAATGTATCACTGTGGATCACCTGTCCCCACAACGATACAACCTCGTACAAAAACAATCCCACCCATGGCTCCACCCTCCCTTTTTTGTCACCTAGTCCCATGAAAGATTACCATGGGAACCACAGACCACATCCTTTCTCTGCCATTACTGTTTCTGTGTGATAGTCTGATTACCTCTTAGTGTATCCATTATCCCTGAATTTATAATCCTGATTTTTTTTCTACAGACAAAAAATTTAGTTGTTTGTTTATTTGTTTGTTTGTTTTTATTTTACTAGCTGGTTTTAAATGCTGTTATTTGTCATTTGATAACTTCAAGACAGTGTTCATGCTGCTTTCCTTCCCACTCTTTTTTTCTTCTGCCCCAGTATGATAAACAGACCTCAAGCCCATAGTAACTGGTTTGCACTGAGAGTGATTTGCTTACTGCAGACTTGTGTTTCTGTTTGTAGCCTGGCTTGATTGTGAATATCCTCTTTGATCTGTGCTGGACTTGTCACAGTTGTTCTGAAAGGGAGGGAAGTAGGATGCTGTGCTCTTATGTTTGTATTCCTCTGACTGCTCTGTCATAGGAGGCAGGAGTACAGGCTTCTTCCAGGTGCCTGTGACCCTGACTGTGAAAAGGCTTCATCTAAGACTAAGAGCGATGTGTCTTCATTTTGGAGACTGTCTAATGGGAGTGGGGACAGCCAGTGACAGTCTCCCTTCCGAACACATAACTAAATGGAGACACAAAACTGTATTTTTTACCCCCATAGGTTTGTCCAGCTATGACATAACTCCCAAGAAGGAAAGATACACAGTCACTGTGCCAGTGAGACTGTGTGTATCAGCACATACTGAGACAATACAGGGAAAGACATGCATGTGAGCAAACCCATTTAGGTTTGGGGCATACGCAGCCCACCCTGGCCTAGTCACATAAAAGCTCAAGACATAGTCAGCAACACAACCAAGTATCTGGAGTAAATATATTGTTCATATTGCTCTTTAATGGTTTCACTTCAGTCTGTCTTGATATAAAAAAATAGGCTGTAAACACAGACACAATCCTTTGAATCAAGGTAATTCTACTAGGCAAATCATGAATGATTTTCTCTTGTTTTCAGATATCACAGAAGAACCGGTTATTTTTGATACAGCCTATTCAGTTGGGAACAGCTGTTAGTGTCCCAGGGAAGGGAATGAGAAACATAGACCCAGCTGAATCATTTAGAACCAAGACATAGGACTACAGGAGGACTACAGAGATATTTGACAGGTGTACTCAGGTGCCCCTACAGTATCCTCTCTCCTACAACAGCAAAACTGTGTGCTTAAATCACTAATGATGGGAATGATTGCAGACATTCGTCTTTGTTTAGGCTGAAATCTTTTAAAGTATACATTTAGCATTTTATTTGTTTAGCTCTGCCTAAATAATAACATTAATAATGAGATATTACTTGCCTGCCTTGGTTTTAGCCTAGCTCTGATCAGAGCACTGTTTATTCAGGGTCTAAAACCATTCTAATAAAATTCATTTAAGATTATTCCGTCTCTTTCTCCAGTCTACAGCTCCATTAGTGTCCTTACTGTCACTGACTCTGTCCCATATGGTGTCTTTCATTTCAGAACAAGCGAATCACTTCTGTGTTAATTTTGAAGCAGTGTTTCTATGTGGTGCTAATATCACCTCTGGGCATATTAATAAGGCAGTTTCCAAGACATGCCAGTAGAGACCAGTCTTGTCCCACTTGATTCATCTGTAACCCGTCAAAAGGAAAGGCCATGTAGACCATGAATTCACATGAGTGAGAAGAAGAGAAGAGAGAAAAGAGTTCCTTGATTTTTATTTCCATGTCACTCATGGGAGGCATCATGGGCCAAGATGTGTAAAACTTCAGACATGAAGGAAAGGTGAGAATATGCAAGTAAGAGACAGCTAGGGCCATATTTTCTAATAATGGTGTCATTTTAGTGGGGAAATGTCACATTTGAAAAGTAGTGATCATATCACTTACACTAGCCCAGGATTCTTCTTTAGAGTTTACAGAAGCAGCAGCTACAAAGCAGGAGGCAGAACTGGAGAGGTGCCTTGAGCTTTATAGATTTGTTTTAGGGACACTAGGAAGTTTTCTTCATAAATATTCAGTACTTGTGACCATGAACCCTTGAAATTAAGGAATGGCCCCTTTTCAGGGCATATCTGTGTACTGAAAAGATAAGGTGATGGAAGCAGAGGATGTGTAAAATCACATTCTGTGGTGGGTTGACCTTGACTGGCTGCCAAGGTGCCCACCAAGCCCCTCTATAATTCTCCCTCCTCAGCAGGATGGGAGAGGAGAAAATAAGACGAAAAAGAACTCATTGGTTGAGATAAACGCAATTTAATAAAGAAAAAGCAAAAGCCATGTGCAAAAGCAAAGGAAAACCAGAAGATTTATTCTCTACTTCCTATGAGCAGGTGATGTTCAGCCTAGGAAGTAGAGCCTCAGTACATGTAGCGGTTGCTCAGGAAGATGAAGACCTTAATAACAAATGTCCCCATTCCTCCTCCTTCCTCTTAGCTCTTTATTGCTGAGGATGGCATTATATGGTATGGAGTATCCCTTTGGTCAGATCGGGTCTGTTGTTCTGGCTACGTCCCCTCCCAAACTCTTGCCCACCCCCAGCCTTTGGAGCAGGGGTTGGGAGTGGGTTTTGAGACACTGCCTTGATGCTCTGTGAGCACTGCTCAGATAACACTGGTGTGTTATCAACACCTTTCTAGCTACAAAGCACAGCACTATGAGGACTGCTATGAGGAAAACTAACTTCATCCCAGCCAGACCCAATATGCATCCCTATGCATGCAGTGATGCTATACCATCCTACCTATATATATTTCATTTATTTCCTTCCCTTTGTTTTCCCTCTCTTCTAGTATTTGTCTACTCAAGCTTCTTGCTAGATCCCACTGATTTGCACTCAAGTTGTTCCAATAAAGAACAATATTGTTTCTCAAATGTTCATCATCTGCTCCCAACCCAATACCTGTGTTGGATGATTAACACAAGGTTATCTGTCCTTTTATTTCTGTTCTGAGTCAGCTCTTGTTTCACAGGAAGCTTGAGAAGCAGCAGCTGTGGTGGAAAAAAATCTTCTGTTTAATGTCTTCATTAATGATCTTGATGATGGGGCAGAGTGTAGCCTCAGCAACTTTGCAGACACCAAACTGGGAGGAGTGGCTGGTGCATCACAGGGTCATGCTGCCATCCAGAGAGACCTCAACAAGCTGGAGAAATGGGCCAACAATAGCATCATGAAGTTCAACAAGGAGAAATGCAAAGTCCTGCACCTGAGGAGGAATAACCCCGTGAACCAGTATATGGTGAGGGAGACTCAGCTGGAAAGCAGCTTGGCAGAAAAGGAACTGGGGATCCTCATGGACAGCAAGTTGAATATGAGCCAGCAATGTGCCCTTACTGCAAAGAAAACGAATGGTATCCGGGGCTGTATTAGACAAAGTATTGCCATCAGGTTGAGGGAGGTGATTCTTCCCCTTTATTCAGCACTGTTAAGGCCACACCTGGAGTACTGTGTCTAATTCTGGGCTCTTCACTACGAGAGACATGGACGTACTAGAAAACGTTTAACAAAGAATCACAAAGATGATTAAGGCAGTGGAGCACCTCACATAGGAGGAGAGGCTGAGAGACCTCGGACTGTTTAGCCTAGAGAGAGAAGGCTCGGGAGTGATCTGTTTAATGTATATAAGTACCTGAAGGGAGGGTGCAAAGAAGATGGAGACAGACTGTTTTCAGCGCTGCCCAGTGACAG